AAACCTTTTTTTCAGTTTTGGGAAGAATTGAGTGCTGAAGATCTTGAGAACCTGAAAAAACCCATTAAAAGGGTAATCTTTTTCGATCAAAATTTAGTTCCACTTTTGTCAAATCTCTGTCAGCTGCTTCTATCACAGGATTAATTTTTTTTAAAGAGTGTGAGCAGAGTTGATCTTTGTGAGAAACTGTAGTTGAAATTGGTCAGGAAGCTTTAAGGATATTGTTTTTTATTGAGCTGCTGTTATGTAGGCTGGTGAGCTGAGGTGCCAATGTCAGGGGTTAATCTCTAAGTGAAGTATAACGAGACACTGATTTTGCTTTTTTCCTCACAAAATCCTGATTATACTACCTGGGAAATCCACTGTGCAGTACCTGTATTTCATAATGACAGTGTATCTAATTCTCCTACCATTTGAATGAGTTATGACAATTGTAACACAGCTCAAGTTTTGCATTGTTTCCTTCTACTGCTCCTATGCGTTCTGTTTACTTTCTCTTGTAGACTGTCAGTCCTATGTCAGCTTTTTGTTGAAATCCTTAGAACTGGGTTTTTTTCTTGACTTCCTCTGATAACACGTAAAAATATTTAATGGTGGTGTAGCTTTGTAGATGTCTTTTGTTATTTGAGAAGTTTATAATCTCTGTAGTAGTTGTTTGATTAGCGGATTTTTATTGCTGCAACGCTGAACAACTTCAGAATTTGTTTAAAAAATATCTTTCTGGGTCTCACCATTCATTACTTGTGTAACATCTTAACCGAGACCAAAGCAGAAAACTCTTAAGGGACTGGAGTTATCTCTCTGCTCTTACTGATCCTTTTAAATTTATGCAGGGTACTTCTGAAGATGAAGATGATGACTTTTTGAAAGGAGAAACTCCTCAGAATGATGGCATGGTTGGAATTGCTCCAAATTCTTATGAGTCAAATACACGGAGCCCAGTGAGCCCCACAGGCTCCCCTCTAGACTGTTATGTGCAATACCCACACTGACCTGGAGAAACAGAAGTGAAAGGGTTGAAATTGTGTGCAATTTTTTGCTCTGCAAAGAGACTTTAACTCAACTTTCGAACTGGCCAATGTTTAAGTAACTGCATTTAAGAAAAAATGTTTCTTAATCAGATTTCTACAGATATGTTATGATGAAATCATATGTTGCTAGAAAAGACTAGTGAATAAATAGGGTGGTATTTTACAAATTTCACATTGAAATGGTTTTTATGACTTCAAGGTTTTTTTATATTTTATTTTCTTGACTTTAAAAGCTTTTGTTTACTAATATTTCTCTACAGAGTTTTGTATATCGAGATGAAATTCTGGTCTATCTTCCTGTTTACTTCTGCAGGACCAGGATTCCATTGTTAGTATTTAAACTGTACTCTGATGGCTAAGTTTTTGAGTTAGTTTCCAAGGAGTGGTATGAGACTGCGATAGGGAAGCCATGAATTCTGTCTGAAGATGATTCTTTTTGCACACATCTCTTAAGCTTTTCCTATCTGTAGAATAGTGTTTGGTAAAGCCATTTGATAGTGGAAAGTGTATTCAGGTGATAAGCATTATCATGGCTTCCACTCTTGCAAGCTGCTGGTTGCTGGAGGTGTTGAAAAGGACAGAGTAGCTGAATGTATGATCTGTAGATAGTTTTCTCTGAGAGGCCTAAAAAGCACTCCCAGAGACGTATTTATGTTCAGACTTTAAAGTTCATATGTGAATGCTGAAAATAGAGGAAAAAAACTCTTCCCTTGTAGAAAGGAAGTGATGATATCGTTGGTATCGTTGTGGTGTTCATGTATCAGTGAGGAGTTGATTTGTGTAGGTGTGTTATCTTTTTTCATGATTGCTGGCTCTTAGATTTGAGGAAAGAATATAAACGGTGGAAAAAATAAATGTTATCTGTATAACATTCAGTTGAAAATGTCATGCATTTGGGGTAAAACTAACAGCTGTGCAACTCCATTCATCTGCCCTTCGTGAGAGTCTGAATTTGTAGGCTTTCAAGACAGTATTTTTATTCAGAGCCAATACAGACTGATGCATATGGTGCGAACCCTACATCTTTGAAACCAATTCTCTTTTATGATACTAGGCATCTTTCTGTGTGTAGTCTAGCTTCTCAAAGTTAGCATGTTTTTTCTGACCGACTATGAAAGTGAGTTTGGGGGCATGATATTGCAAAGTTAATCTGTGAATCTGTTCATCGTTGAATAAACTGGGACTTAGTTTTTAATTTTAGTCCTCTCTTTTGCCATTCCTGAGCTCTAAACAATGAATTCAAGTGGAAAAAAGGGCATTCTCTCCTGGCATGAAAGACCCCTTCTCACATCAACGGCAACGAAAACGTCCTTTGGAAGCTGCATTTTTCTGTGCTGTCACTTTTGTCTTTAGCAGTGTAGCCAGTCGCTTGTAAACCCAGGCTGTATAAAACTTTCCAAATTTCTATTTCTCATTAAAAGCAAAAAAAAAAAAAAAAAAAGAAATAAAAAGAAGGTTGGCACACAGTACAACATTAAAAATGAGCAGACAGTGGAGTGTCTTTCCTGAAGTCGCAGTCGGCGTTAGCGCGCTGGAAGTGCCGACTTGCTGACGGCAAACTGGGCGAGGAGCTCCGCGGCCCCCGAAAGGTCTTGCGGCAGCGCCCTGGCGCCTCTAGCGCGCTCGCGGACAGCAGGGTTGGCGGGTGCTGACGCTTTGCTGAAGAGAGGCTTATTCTGTAACAGACACTGATAACACTGAGAGCAAAGCTGATTTAGCGGTGGGAATTGTGTATTTTCCCGTCGGGCCTCATGAGCAGTACCTGTAGCTAGGAGAACAGCTGCTCGGCTCAGGTGTGGGGACCCGCTCCCCGGCTGCGGCGAGCTCCGCTCCTATTAACCTGTTTTTCCTTTATGCGTTGTGGACAACGGGATGAAAATCCCTGGTCTTGCAGGACACGTTTTGTCCCTGGGGCCGCCTGGAAGCTGAGCGGGCAGCGGCTTGTGCCGTGGTTGCCGTTGTTTGGGGGGTGGAGGGGGGCGGTAATGTGGGGATTTTGGCAGGGTCGGTGGCAAAGCGGTTTGCGGTAAGCCCCTCCCCCCGCAGGGGGCGGGGGGTTATGTAAAGT